ATTTTAAAAATATGGATTTGGGTAATTTTGGAATTTTTATTTATAAAAATCATATTGTAATACAATTTTATGTTTTTTTAATGCTTAAATGCTGCTACAGAAAATGTTGAACTATGGCAATATTTTCACAGGTACTATTCAGAAGTTGTTAAGTTTTTTAGATATTTTAAGTTTTTCCATTTTTCTCCATTTTTTTTTTCTGACTTTTGTATTTTTCCCTTTTTTTATTTTTGTTGACTGGTTGTCAGATTCCTTTTTGGAAAAACTTTGTTTTGTGCAGTTTAGCACGCCAATGTGCACAATTATGGGTGAAGACAAGAGAGTCTTTGGGGCATCCCTTAGGTGTTTTTTCTGAGCTAGGATTTCACTGTCACCCCAAAGCAATTGTGGAAGAATTGGGAAAGGTTAGCTCTTCATCCATGTGCAGTGTGCATTTGTAGTTTTCTTCATCATACCCTACACATCCATGAGTTCTTTTGGTGATTGTTATTTGTGCTTTTTTGCATTGTGCAGTTACACTCTTTTGATTCCATGTGCCTTTTATTCTTTACAGTCTAAACCAAGGTTTAAAAGAACAGATCAGTGATCTGGATCACCCAGGTCCGGTGCGGTTCGGATTAGTGATCCGGCTGAGTGAACCAACTAATAAAATATTTAAAAAATTAGAGAACACAAAGAGAAAAAAAATTAAAAAATTAAAAAATAAAAGGTGGGCTCAGTTCTGGCTGGTTCTCTGACAAAACCTGTTAGATCCCGAGATTTTGTTGCACCCGGGCTAGCCCCTCCAGTTCTCGATCCGAATGGGATGGTTCCAATTTGGATCGTCATTTTTTAAATCCTGCTGCAAACTATTAAGTTTGTGCTTATTTACTATACCTTTGAGAGAACGAATTGTCACATGGTGCATTATTTCTTCGATTTCCTTTAGCATGTCATTTGGTTTATCAATGGTTGTGGATTCTTTTTCATCATTGGTCAATGCGCCTTTAATAGTGGTTTGAAATTATGTCAAGTTTGCTACAACTTTTGTCGTTCATTATGTTGAATGGATTCCTCACGATCCCCATGATTTGAAGATTTTCTATTCCCCCTTTTTATAGTCTGGCTTATTTCTCCGGGTCCAATCATTTTTTATTGATTATTATTCTCATATATTTATTGGTCATATCAATGTTTTGAAACTCAGCTAGTTCGTTTAGGACTTGCCCGAGTTACTCAAACTGGCAGGGTGCCAGGTCTTGTTGCCACGTCTCACCGATTCCTGGGGTCACTATTTTATTTTTCCATGTACTTGCCCAAGTCTTATCTAGACTTTCCTGAGTTAGTCCGTCTGACTTGGAATAGGGCCCAGGCCAATCCCATTCCCGAGTTGGAGATTTTATCACTGGGTCATACTGGTGATCCTTTTCTTCATTTAGATGACAGTATGTTGGCTGTGCTTGTCTTTGTTTTAAAGTAGTAGTAGTACTCTTCAGTAATGAATACCGCAATTTGTTCTTTTATTGTGCATTATTTTATTCTCATTGTAGGAAGCGAGCCATCCTAGAGCATTTGTTCTTGAAGTTGGCACTGAGGAGTTGCCACCGGATGATGTGATTGATGCCTGCCAACAGGTATACAATGTGAAAATTACTGTGCAATGCAATGCTGTATCCAGAAGTGGAGCATGTTGTATAATTTGTTCCCATTTCTTCAAGTATTTATTTAACTGTCGATTACTTTTATCCTGACTGATTAATTGTTGGATATGCCAGCTTGAAATGTTGATTGTACAAATATTATTGAAACGGCGGCTTAGCCATGGGAAGGTGTCAGCATGTGCTACCCCTCGTCGCCTCGTGGTATTTCCCTGAAGTTATTATTTTTCTATTTATCACTTTCTTTTATCTTCTAACATAGATGTATTGCCTTATATTTTCACAGTTCTAAGGGAATACCGATGGTATATTCTTCTAAGAATTAACATGTATTGCTTAATGGAGTTATATAACAAATGTTCCAATACATATGAAAGTGATGATGATAGAAGGAAACAAAGAACTCGTGCAACATGTTTGAGGTTGCATTCCAGACCAACAGACAATCTGTTCCATTTGATACTTTTTAATCTGATGGGAGATATTCAATGAACGGGAGATATATAAACTGGACAAGAAATATCAGAAAATGACTCTCATTATGAGATATGCCATTCATGTCAATGGTTGATAAATGTCTACGGAGGCATGTTTCATGTATTGATGACCCCCCTATACAAATAGCAGAAAATTGGTTATGTAGTTTTGTGGATGTCTCACAAGCCATCTTTGTTTAATACACATGGTCTACAGCTACGAGGTTAGAATGTCAGGTCTGTTTGGTTTCTTGTTTACAGCATGCCTTTCGTGTTTTGATAGGTTTAACACATCAATTTTCATTATTGGAGTTCATTTTGTAAGTTAAATGTGCAATAATAGAAATAATAGATAAACTTAAGTTAGTTATATGACTTGGTGTCAATGTCCTAGTGTTATGTTTGTCTCAGACTGGTACATGCTTCAATTTGGGGCACATGACTCTTGAAAGGGGCCATCCTGTGCATATTCCTTGTGGTTCTTGCTGGTTGCTCATGCTTGACAGTCATTTCTCAGCCCCTTTCTTGGCTGTGCTAATTATGGAAATGCATGTCCATAAACATAAGAATTGTACCTGAAAGTGACCAGAAATGCTGTGTTGTAGTACTAATAATGAAAAATATGGCTTCTGTTTAGGAGCTGGAATTAGTGGCGGTTGTGATAGGCCAAGCCTACTCTAAACCTTTGATTTTCAATGTGGGAAATGAGAGAGGATAACTTGACCATTGTTCTTGATGATTTTACACATGGAAGGCATCTCGGAATACTGATGACAATCACTTGTATAGAAAACCTGCTTACACCTCTAAGAGCTCACTTTTCCCATATGTCATTTTAGCCTTTAACCAGAAAACACAAAGTATGTGGACATTATTAATGCTTGTAAAAATGTAGTTCGCATAGGAATATATTTGCACTAGTTGGGGATATTGTCTTGAATTTGGTTGCCTCTACTTCAACAACACGTAATAAAAAGATGTTTTCGACCTGTTTTTTGGTTGAATTCTTTCTTTATAAGTTCTGGTGTGTCCTTGTAAAATTCACACCATTGTTGTATAGCCTCAGCTATTTGTGGAAGTGCCATGTTCATGACCATCAGTAGTTATATCCACAAAATGACATAAATAATGGAGCTTTCTTGTTATTGTCATTTTCCCTTTTTACATTTTAAGCATTAGTGATACAATGACATGCTTGATATTCTTTGTAGGTTTATATTGACATGTTAAGTTCTAAGCAAGAGGAAAAAGAAGTTGAAGTTCGTGGACCTCCGGTTGACAAGGCATTTGATCACCAAGGAAACCCTACAAAGGTTTATTATTCCACTCTTCTGCAAGCTGATATTTTTTTGTGCTTGTATGAATTGAGGCTCATTTGTAAAATAAGGTCAACATAAGATAGTTTTTAATGATAATTGAAAATAATAACGGAGGCCCTAATTTGAATGATAACTGTTACAAAGTCAAGGGTAACTCTTTCAATGGCTGATAAATATTATGAAATTTACTCATGTGAGTCAACTCTTTGTCACCTTTTCTTCCATAGCTCTCTGGAGAGTCATTATGTAATTAAAGGTTTGGGATTCTGTTCCTATAAAAAATGTTAACCTTTGAATATTGGTTTCCAGTGGTGAATATCATGAGATAAAATATGTCGAGTTAATTGATTACTCCCTAACAAGGTGTTATGGTATTCAATCATCACAAGGTAGTTGCTTTTGATAGGAAATTTATTAAGAATAGTGAATGGATGTGCATCACACAATACTCCAGTTTAGAAGTTAGACGAAATTTAACTTTTAAAAGTATTTATTCTTAATGAAGTGTATACTTAATATTTACATTTGTTTAGTGTTAATTTATTTCTATGGGTGCTTATATTCTCGTATTTAATTTTCTTATTTGCATTTTCACGATTTTATTTGTTAAAATTCAATAAATTATTTGCTCTATGTTCTTGTTTTGCTGAGAAAAAAATGTCAAGTTATTTTAAACAAAATTCCCAATTTGTTATGAATTCCTTTTTTAACATAGTGTAGAAATCCTTTTCAAATATGTCGAAGATTTTATTGTTTATTGCTCTCGTCCCTATTTCTTCTCTCTCTAGTTTATTTTTATTGTAAATTTCAATAATAAATGTATATGAGTATTTTTAAAGGGGTTTGGCTAACTGATGTTAGATTTAGACGATGATTGTGAGGTTTCAAGGAGAAATACTTATCTGAAGAGCATATCTAGGAAAAAAAATGTCTAAAAGAGTTTGCGTGAAGAGATTATTTGGGAAAATTGGGGGGAGAGTAGTATTGACTTGTAACTTAAAAGTCGCACTACTATTTTATTATCTCTTGTATATAAAAATATATAGATGTGCTGGAGTGTTTCTAAATTGAGTGTATTTGCTTTCATAGATCATAAGAGTCTCTGGTCCTAATTGAAGATTAATTTTTATTTTGGAATTATGTTAAACAGAATATTTTTCCGCAAGTCAGCCATTTTATTGTGTGCTTACCTTCCAGGGAGTATTTCTTTCGCTTTTTGAATGAAAGGTTAACTTCAAGAATATTTTTTTCTGGTCGTACATGCTACTTGTTTTTCTAGCAATGAGTAAGGGTTAAAGAGAAGATGGTGGCAATAAAGAATGGATCGCATTGTCAGTGGTGGATATATTCTCTAATGCTTTGCAAACATTCCTTGAAGGACTGTGAACTACGTTGTGCCAATTTATTGGGATCAAGCGTGTAGAGTTTTCTAGGTTATTTTGACTGGGACAATGAACATAAATGAAAGACTTGTAGGACTTGCATGTGTGATTGAAATGAGGGTGGTCCAAATTGGGTTCTTCATTGCTAGCCAGGGGAGGTGGGCCAACTCCTCAATGGGGTCCCTAATGCTATTGAGAAAGAAGGCATGAGAGTCAAGATGCCTTTCTCCCTCCTCATGATTAGTACTAGGATGGAAGGGGGAGCTAGATAATAATAAACATTGAATTAGGGCAACCAGCTATTCAACTAAACTCATTATCATTTGAGCCTTATCCCAATTATTAGGGGCCGACATCATGAATCTTGTTCTACCTTGCTGCTCTATCAAGGGCCCAACCATAATTCACCACATCTCTTTTCACTACTTCAATTCATGTCCTTTTGGGCCATCACCTTGCCCTTTTGGAGCTTTCCACTTGAACCAAATCGCCTCTCCTAACTGGTGTTGTTTTAGGTCAATGCTGCACTTGGCCGGACCACCTAATATTACTTTCCCATACCTTATCGCCTATTGGAGCTACCGTTAACTTTCCTCAGAGGTATTCATTCCATATTCTGATCTTTTCTTGTCTTGCCACTTGTCTATCTCAACATCCTCATCTTAGCCACACTCATTCTATAGATATGTTGTTTCTTGACTGCCCAACATGCCCTCCCATAAAGCATTATTGGTCTTACAACCATCTTGTAGAACTTCCCTTTAGTTTCATTGGTATGCAATTATCAGATAAGGCTTCAGAACCAGATCTCCACTTCATCTGCCCAATTCTAATTCTTTGTGCAACATCTTCCTCACACATGCACGCACACACACACACACACACACACATATATATATATGGAAAAAGATGGGATTAGCCCACTAGCTCATATGAACATATGAGCCCAACGGCCGAGATTGAATCTGGGCCGATCTAACGATTACGGATGTTCGGTGGTGCTTAAATTTTATTTTATTTTTCTACAGATCCAAATCACTTAAAATTTTAGATGTGTGTTCTTCTCATCAAGGAGCACCTAATAAAAATATAAAAAAAAGCAT